CCTGACTTATTTCGCTAAGCATAACACCCTCAAGGTCCATCCATGTTGCTACTAGGCTACAGAATTTTAAAGCCTAATTGACTTTAAAGTACAATTTAAATGTAATCATAGACACACTTCTCTGAAAGGATTTGGGAGTCTGTCTGGAATACAGCAGAATACCAATAAACAAATGAGTTAGAAACTTGGATTTTATTTCTCTTCTATCTCTATTTATTAATAACTTCTCCAAAGATAAAACAGAATATAACTAGGTTCACAGGAGGATATGTATTGAGCTATTTAATAAATGTCTCATAAAATCATTTTTGTAGGTAAGCCAAATGTAATAAAAAGACTCCACTTGTAATGCATGTGGAAGGCTGGCAGCCTTCAAGTCCCCAGTCTTACCTTTTTCCCTTTGCCCTACCTCTGTGCAACCTAAAAGATAGCCTGCTCATACCCTTAGACCTTTGGTGTCCTCAGTACCTGGCACTGGCACTGGCAGAAATTTCAAACCACGCAAGCCCCACCTGAGTGTGAGAATCTCCACCCCACTCACTTTCTAACTACAAAAAACCCAAAGCCCCACCTCCCTCATTTCCCTCTGGACCAAACAAAAACCCTTCTCCTGGCTGTGGGGATCCATGCTCTGTTGACTGTTATAAGTCATAAATTCTATTTTACACCCACTTATGCCCATGTGTCATTTGTCCCAACTCTATAATTTTCCAGGGTGGAATGGGAGAATTGTCCAGTGTCTGGTAGAGGATGCTAGCCACCCAAATAAAGCAGTAACTGACTAGTTTTGCTTAATGATTTCTCAGAATCACTTGCCAAGACACCAGGAAGACTCTAGTCTCTAAGAAGTCTTCAAGGGCAAAGACCAGAAGAATGATATGATCTCACTTACTGATGTCCATGCATACTTAGGGTCTGAAATATACCAAAGCAAATTTCTACAAGAAAGGTTAATAATTTACAAAATGAAATTTGAAGGGATAAAATTACACCATATAGAGTAGAATACTGAAGTTACAATTACAGTTACAATTTTGCTTTTACTATTACAGAGGCAATTAAAATGGAAAGTCTTTTTTTAAACTACATATTAAAAACAAAAACAGACTCCCAGCTCTCACCCAAATGGCACTCCAAGGGCACCCAGTGGAGTCACCAGGACTGTGGGGACCGCCGTGTAAGCCAGGAAGTTTCCAATCTGGCCAACAGCCACTGTCAAGAGAATCACAAGGATACCACTTGCAATTGCAGCTCTCTTTCAACAATGGTCAGAGTTTAAATGAGCAAGGAACTGTTCTGAAAGGGCTATTTCTTTTTCATTACTTGTAAGGAAGCAAATGTGGGGCATTATTTGCATAATTAAGGGTTCTAAGGGCAAGTGACAGCAGGCCCCAGAGTGTCACGGACCCAATCAGTTAGAAGACTAGTTTCCTCTGTGGAAATCCCAAACTAAATGGCCATGATTGACAGTGGGTGCAACAAAGTATATTTCCACTTTCTCCTTAACACATCCTTGTTTTACAACTATTCAGGTAGAATTTTCTGTGTCCCTTCAATGGCCTGGGACTTACTCCAGTATAGACCACTGGGCCATAATGACATGCTGCTGGTATACCAAGTAGAAACATGACTGCCTGCATAGGACTGTACCCAGGGCTATACTAAGACAGAATTTAAAGATGAGCTCCTCAATGAAAGGAAACAACATCTGGTAGGTCACATCTTGCCTAAAAGACAATGTGTGACAAATAAACCTCATAACATTGTTGAATTTTCTGGTATAGTTTTTCTTTACATATTTAGGGGCCTGAATTCTAATCTTACTAATTTTTATATGACAGCATAAACCTCTGAACATGATCACCTCTTTTATCAGAATGAGTGAAGAAACTCTTCTTTGTAAATCCAATTATGTTCAACAAAACAAGAAATTTCACCAAATGCCAACCGCCTGACTATAGACGAGTAAGCAGCAGCTATTTTAATTCCTTTGGATCGAGGACAGTCTGACCTGGACTAAATTCAGGGCTTATTTCAGGCAGTAGGACCCTCTACCTCCTCCCAACAGTGACTGCCACCCTGGTCCTCAGTCCAAAGAATGGAGCCAGACTCATTCCAACCTCTGCAGTCCTGTCAGAGGAATGACTGATCTTAAGAAAGCTGTTCATCACACTGGGTACTTACTTGCAATCGTGCCTGCCCACCACACGATGTCTGTTAAATAGGAAGTACCTATGAAAGAGTGAGATAAAAAGTCAGAAAAGTACAAAGCAAGAGGTTTATGAACTATATACTTTAAAATGGAAATAAAATTGAAAGAATATTGAATACCATACTGCTTAATCACCATTTTAAGAATCTTTAAGGTAGTCTATAAATAGCAGCATGAGAAACCACTAAAAGTCGCAAATACAGATATTTTTTACATTGAACACAAGCTAACCCAAACAAGTGAAACCTTTATTAAAAAAACGTGTTTGGGCTCATGATGCCACCCAGAGACACAAATACTATTTGGCATGAAGTTTTATGTTGAAGTCCGGTTCTCTCATGCATTTACTGTAACCCATTTATTTATATGATAATTTTATAAGCATAGGACTCAATTACTCGGTGTTTAAACAAATTAGTCAATTTTCATAATTTAAAACTCTTTTTTCAACATTTGGGCAGGAGACCTTTTCTCTCAGTGACCTGATATTTTACACAGTTTCTTGCATTCTCTTAGGTTACCCTCATATATCCCATGCATAGTCAGACAGAAACATGAGCAGATGTCCAGGCCTCCCTGTCATATGGGTTCCTTCTTCTTGCCTGTAGTAGGAACCTGCAGCAAGATGGTCTCCCAACCTTTGAGACACAGATTTGTCCCACTTCAGATATGTCAAAATGCTTGTCTGACATGTTTGTTCACTTCACGTTAAAGTACCTAATTCTAGATTTTAACCATTCTAATAGGTATGAGGTAATATCTCATTGTGGTTTTGATTTGCATTTCCATGATGACAAGTGATGTTGAGCATCTTTCTGTGTCTCTTGGTCACCTGTATATCTTCTTTGGAAAAATGTCTATTCAGATCCTCTGTCCATTTTTTAACCACATTGGTGTTTTTTTGGTCTTGAGTTGTATAAGTTCTGTGAAGATATCTTATATCTTAATGTTTTGGATATTAACCCTTATCAGATATAATGCTTGTAAATATATTCTCCCATTTAGTAATAAATGATGTTACAACAGGGATGTAATGGGATAGATGGTAGCGGTGAACACACCATAATGTATAAACTTGTCAAATCACTAAATTATACAACTGAAACTAATGTAACATTATGTGTCAGCTATACTAAAAAAAAAATGACTCTGTGTTTACTTTTGAAGGGAAATTACTTTTTAAAAAATAAAGTACCTAATTCTAATTGGACATTTTAATTCTTAGTAATTTAGTATAATGAACACAGGAAGTCAGCATGATTCATGGAGGAACAGAACTACAGGTATTATAATATGTACCTGAAAACAATGAAATGGGGCTAGAAAGTAATGACAGAGTAGGAAGAATGGAGGAGTTGGAATATCATCATTTGGCAACATCACAGTTAAAACCAATTTAGGCAAGAATCATTAATGGATACTAAAGCAAGTGGATAAAAGTTTGTTGAGGAATGTAAGATTGCCACATAGTCTCTCTTAATCACCTCCATCAGTTTTTCATTAGTTATGAAGAAAAAAACTTATCTTTACAGTGCGCTATAGACCCTGACAGACATTATCTTAACCAAGTGGTCAAAGTTATCATCAGCAATGGGACAAACCAATATCACATGCCTCCTGAGAGGATATATTAAGAAGGATACAATGTCTTATCTGGTATTCCTGCCAAAGTGCATCACTTGAATCAAAATGTGAGGAAACTGTGAAATAGGCTATGAACTTACTGACTTGCACTCTAAAAAAGGAAAGGTCCTGTGGCGCCTGGGTGGCTCAGTCAGTTAAGAGTCAGACTTCGGCTCAGGTCATGATCACACAGTTAGTGAGTTCAAGCCCCACTTCAGGCTCTGTGCTGACAGTTCAGAGCCTAGAGCTTGCTTTGGATTCTGTTTCTCCCTCTGCCTCTCCCCTGCTCGTGCACTCAAAAATAAATAAACATTAAAAAATGTTTTAAAACACAAGGTCCTAAAGACAAAGAAAGGCTAAAGAACTGTTGCAGATAAAAGAAAGCTAAGACAGTAACTCAACACATAAGATGCTAAATGGGGGGAAAAAAGGTTGCTATAAAGGACAGTTTTAGGGCAACTGGCAAAATCTAAATATGGATTGTTGTCAAGAAAAGACTTATAAAACTCCTTCTCTTTCTATGTGAGAATATGACTCAAGGTTTGCTTTCTGGCTCCAGAAAGCTGACAGCCATGTGGCCAGAGGATAGCACTTAGAAATGACCTCTGATGGACAAATGGCACCTGATTGAAGGTCTGTGAACACCTAGTGGAGACCCTATTACTTGGGCTCCCCTGAGTGTCCTGTGGGGTTTGGGAGCTCTGCCTCTGTGACTTTACTCTAGGGGGCATAGGACTCATAAGACAGGGCTGCTGTGGCATTGCCTACTGCAGCTCTGCCTCCAGACCCCTGAGACATGCTTTGCCTCTGCTGCCAACCCCCAGCAGGAGAGGGCACAGCACTAGCTATGGCTCCTGTCCATAGTGTCCTGAGTGTATCTGAGGCAAATGTGGACCATATTGTCCTTTCAGTAGGAAGGTACAGCTGAACCTAAGAAAGCCCCTTCCAGTAAGCGCTGTAGAATAGTTATCAGCTATTAGTACAGAATCCATGTTGAATTTCCTGAATGTGCTACTCAAACTGTGTCTACTTAAAAGAATACCCTGGGGTGCCTGGGTGGCTCAGTCAGTAAGTTGTCTGACTTCAGGTTAAGTCATGATCTCACAGCTTGTGAATTCAAGCCCTGCATCGGGCTCTGTGCTGATAGCTTGGAGCCTGGAGCCTGCTTCAGAGCCTGCCTCGCTCTCTGCCCCTCCCCCACTCACGCTGTCTCTTCAAAAATAATTAACACTAAAAAAATAAATAAATAAAAAAAGAATGTCCCAGTATCCCCAAAATGAATACTATATTAAAAAATACTTTTTTAGTTTTTATTTTAAATAGGCTCCTTGCCCAATGTGGGGCTTGATTCATGACAATTGTCACATGCTCTACCGACCAAGCAAGCCAGGCACACCTCTGCATGCTGATTTTTAAGAATGAAAGTTCATGAAGTCCACTTCCAGAATGCTGGTGTGAGGAACTCCATGGACCAATTTCCCACTGAAACAACAATAACTGCCAAATAAAGTTTTAAAAATGTTTTTCAAGTCTCTGTGAAATTGTCCTAAAAGCATACAGCAAATGAAGAAACGTGTACTCAAGAAAAATCTACTAAATTTCCAGTGAGAACAGTGTAAGCCCTTAGCACATGACCTAAGACCTATTCATCTTCTCCCCAACTGCAATTCAGCTTCACAGAAGCTCCACTCCGGGCTGGTAAACAAGAAAATGAGATCCCCTTTTCCTTTAGTTTTTCATCACTAGAAAGAGCAGTCCTTCAGCATTTCTCTTTAAAAAAAATTTCTTTTACAGTTTATTTATTTTTGAGAGAAAGAGAGACAGAGCATTAGTGGGGGAGGGGCAGAGAGGGAGACACAGAATCTGAAACGGGCTCCAGGCTCTGAACTGCCAGGACAGAACCTGATGTGGGGCTCAAACCCACGAACCATGAGATCATGACCTGAACCAAAGTCGGACACTTAACTGACTGAGCCACTCAGGTGCCCCAGTCCTTCAGCATTTCTTACTCCCTCCAAGTTGAAAAGGCTAAATACCTGGTTGGTGTATCCAAGAGTGTGGGGGACTTCTTTCTCCAACCTGGCCCCTACCCAGAGGCTCTATCCCAGGTACAACAGGCCCTGATGGGGACACCCTGTCCCAAGCCTGAAGGTAGGGTGTAGGTCTCATGCTTGGAGAGATCAAGGGCTACTTCTAATAACTAGTCTCAACAAATATACCTGCCTGAGATTAACTGGACAAGACTTGAAGCAATTCATATACCAGAACATTGTTAAAGCAACAGGCTAATCATCTAGCAATTAGTAGAGGCTAACAGCTAGATGTGATAACCAATGAGGCAGACAAGATAAAAATTAGGCAAAGAAACAGTCAAAAGATAGCCCACATGGTCATTTCAAGTAAAGGTGCACATACCCAAGACTGTACCCTCTGAGGTGTATGTCATTACAGGCTTCACACTGCAGGTGAATTATACTTTACGAAAATACTCCACTAAACAAATAAACAAGCAAACAACAATCCACCAAGAGAGGGAGGGCAATCAAATTCCAGAGTTGCTATCATATATTACCTAAAATGTCCAGATATCAACAAAATTCATGACACAACAACAATGAAACAAACAACCCAATTGAAAAATGGCCAAAAGACTTGAATAGGCATTTCTCCAGAAAGATACAAAAATGGCTAATAAGCACACAAACAGATGCTCAACATCACTAATCATTAGGGAAACACAAATCAAAACCATATCACTTTACACCCATTAAAGTGACTATTATTCAAAAAAACAAAACAAGTGTTGGTAAGGATGTGTATAAACTAGAAACCATGTGCATAGCTGGTGAAAATGGAGAATGGTGCAGCCACAGTGGAAAAGGGAATAACAGTTCCTCAAAGAGTTACATATAGGATCACCATATGATCCAGCAATTCCACTTCTGGGTATACATCCAAAAGAACAGGGGCTTAAACATCTATTTATTTGTATACTGTTCATAGTAGCATTATTCGGAACAGACAAAAGGTGGAAACAACAAGTATTCTACAGCAGATGAGTGAACAAATAGACAAAATACAATGGACATGATCCTTTTTCTTATATATGAAAAAGCAGTAAACAATACAAGAAAGACTGTTATTCAGGGGCGTCTGGGTAGCTCAGTCGGTTGAGCAGCCAACTTCGGCTCACGTCATGATCTCGTGGTTTGTGGGTTCGAGCCCCGTGTCGGGCTCTGTGCTGATAGCTAGCTCAGAGCCTGGAGCCTGTTTCAGATTCTGTGTGTCCCTCTCTCTGACCCTCCTCTGCTCACGCTGTGTCTCTCTCTCTCAGAAATAAATAAAAAACATTAAAAAAAATTTTTTTTAAAGACTGTTACTCAGCTTTAAAGAGGAA